AGAGGGCCCGCACCCTGCCGGCGCTCCCATCTCCCTGCGTCTCGTCTCACCTGTTGGGTCCCAATCTCCGCTCTCCCCATTTCCCACCCTTGATTGCATCTCAGTCTCCCTCTCTCCTTCCATCTCTGTATTAGCCTGTGCCCTCCTGCTTTTTTCTCTCTCATTCTGTCTCGTCCCGCGGTTTCTCTTTCTCCTTCCGTCTCCTCGCCTCTCCCGGCAACAAGCTACTGGGTCCCCGCGGGTCTCCCCCCATCCCGCTCTCCCTCCGCGCCGCGTCTCTAACTGCGCAGACCCGGTCTCTAGCTTCTCTCCCATCTCTTTATCACCCCCCAGTCTCCCTGTCTCTCTCATGTCCCCCCTCTCCTCACTTCATCTCAGGGTGTACTTCTCTCTGGCCCCTCCCTCGGTCCCTGCTACCTTCAGCCGGTGGGCCACACGCACCTTGCTGTACTGCGTGTCCAGGCTCCAAATGTAGGGGCAGGGGCCCAGGCAGAAGTTGGCGTGGTAGCCCTTGGGCTCGTGGATCCATTTCCAGCCCAGGTCCTTGCGGAAGTCGATGTAGAGCTGCCGCACGCAGCAGTTTTTCTCCGTGGAGCTGTGGGCGCGAGGTAAGGAACCCAGGTCAGGAAGGCAGAGGGGCCGCCCGCAAGGGCTGGCCATGCCCCCTCTCCCCGTGCGCGCTTGTGTGTGTGTGTGTGTGTGTGTGTGTGTGACTCACCCTGTCCCAGCACCCTCTCCAGCTTGGTCTCCCTTGTACCCGCTGTGATAACACTGATGAAGCACTTCCACTAGTACAGCACTGTGCTAAGCGCATCCTAATAAACAGTCTCTCATGCAGTGCCCGAAACAAGCCTTTAAGAAGCCAAGTGACCATCCACAGAGGACAGCTAAATAAATCATGGCACATCCACACACTGGAACATAGAAACAGAGTGCACTGATGCATGTGTACTGATACGTTCTATGTGTGCAACAAATGTTTATTGAACTATTGTATGCGAGGCTGGGATCTACAGGGGACTCAGTACAGGCAAAACAGGAAGAAATCCCTGCCCTCTGGGGCCAAATGCTAGAGACTACCATGTCGCTCCTCTGCTCTGAACACGGCTCCATTTCACTAGGGACAAACGCCAGAAGTCCTCAGCATGAACCACGAGGCACTACTGGATCTAGCCAATCTCAACTCTCTCTCCATTCTCACTCTACTCTGGCCGCACTAGTGTCCTCACTGTTCCTCAAATGGTCCTACCCCAGGGCCTTTGCACTTGCGGTTGCCTCTGCCTGGCTTGCTATTCCCACAGATTTCTGGTCTGGCTTGTTTCTTCACTTCCCTGAAATGTATGCTCAGCTGTCTTTCACTCAGGGAGCCTCAGTCCTAGAACACTGCCTGGCATGCAGTGGGTGCTCAATAAGTAGTTAAACAAATGAATGTTCAGAGAGTCCTTCCTGGACTATCCTCTCCAAAATACCAATCCAAATGACAGTTCCATTCAGTGTAACAACAGCATTGCAGGCATGCCAGAAAATATGAAAATGTCTGAATTAGAAGTGGAACAAAATCTTAAAACCTGTGGAAGCTGGATGAGAGTTCATTGTATTATCCTGGTTGCTTTTATATACATTTAAAATTTTTCATAACAAAAATCAGAACAGGAAAAATACTCTCCAGTATCTCTTTCTCTCTGTCCCTTTCCTATGATTTATTTTCCTCCTTAGAACTTACAGCCGCTTGCTCTTTTATTTGAGATTGATTTATCTGCCTTCCTCTGAGGATAGGCCTTTTTGTCTGTTTTTTCCCCTAATGTATCCCCAGTGCCTACAACAGTGCCTGGCACACAGTAGGTACTCTGCAAATATTGGATGTATAAATCAATTGCTCAATGCGTTAGGATTTTAAAAAGCACATTGGAGAATAGTGGTGTATAAGATGCTACTGTTCTGGACTCATGATCTCTGTCTGTCCCATGTTCACATCCAAAGGCCAGTCCTCCTGAGCTGAGGCCCAGACCTCTGCTCATCTGAAAGGACCTGGGCATTCAATGTGCAGGCCCCTGGAGCCATGGCTGACATGGACAGGGAGCTTGGCTCAAAAGCTTGACTCATGGGCAGCCAAGAACACTTTATATTTCGTGTAAAATTGGAACAAATAAGGTGTTGATAACCCGAGGGCCAAGGAGGTATCAAGAAGTCTATGTATGGGCTCAGGGAGGGTCCTGAGCATATGTATGTGCACACTTCTGGGGGGAAAAGGTGCCTGGCTTTTGGCTTCTCAAGGGGGTCCTGGACTCACAAAAGTGGAAGAGCCACTATCCAGAATAATCTTTCATTTGTGGTCCAACTCTGGCTGGGGTTCTGAGGTGCTAAGATTTGACCAGTCTGTGATTCTATAATCCAGCTCAGCCATTCTCCATGTGGGGTCCCAGGATCAGCAGCAGCAGCACCGGGAACTTGTGGGGAATGCAAATTCTCAAGCCCCACCCTAGACCTCCTGAACCAGAAACTGAAACTGGGGGTGGGGGTGACAGATAGCAGGCCAGATTTAACAAGCCCTCCAAGCCACCCTGAGGCACTTACACTTCAGGGGCCTGCTGCATTCCGGGCCCTGTGATATACACGGTCCAGGCCTTTGCAAAGCTCTCTCCCTATCCAGTCAGCCCATCAGGACCCAACAGAGCCTGATGAGTAAAAGAAACTCATCACTTGGGGCCCCAGGGCAGGCCGAGGGGCCTCACATCCACCTCAGATGCTGGGGAGGGGCCAGGGAGTCTTCCCAGTGGAGATGGTGCTTAAGCTAAGAACAAGGTGATGTTTGAACCTCAAACATACACAAAAGCAGAGAATATTATATCAAAGCCTCATGTCTCCATCACCCAACCTCAACACTCAGCAAGTCATGACCACCCTCACTGTATCTCCACTCCTACCCACTTCCTCTCCCCATATCATGTCACCCAGAAACATTTCCATATGTATCTCCAAGAAAGTCAGGACTATTTTAAAACATAACCACAATACCACATAAGAAAAATTAACAATAACTGCCTGATATCATGAAATATCTAGTTAGAGTTCACATTTCCCCAACTGTCTCATAAATATCTTTTCTTTTTTGAGCCTGTACAAATAAAGATCCAAATAAGGCTACACATTGCAGTTGGTTTTTAAATCTACAGAACCATCTCTCTATTTCCCGCCTCGCACTGTATCTGTTGAAGAAACTGAGTCAGGTTTCCCACAGTCTAGATGTTGCCAACTGCACACCTGTGGTGGTGTTTAACACGTTCCCTGTATTTCTAGAAAATTGGTAGTTAGATCGACCATCCTGATCAACTTCAGGTTCTTTTTTTTTTTTTGCAAGACTTCCTAGGTGATATTGTGTCCCTCTGAACAGAGGCTCGCACGGCTGGCTGCCTCTCTTTGTAATGTTACTAGCTGTTGGCACTCAAGACCTCAGTGTGTTCATTCACTCACAGACTTGCTGGGCTGAGGGTAGGATCTGGAAGGAACTTGGGAGAAGAGCTGACTTTCCAGCTGGGGACTAGCATGTGACAAAGCCCAGAGGCACCATCAAAATATTAAGCAGGGGAGGGACAGGGTCAGATTATCATTCTAAATTGGCAACATTCTAACTGAATTTGAATATTCTAGAAATCCAACCTTTCAACTTTCTTGGACTGCAGTACACCAGCATCTCAAGACTAACACTCCAATAGCATTTCCAGCTTTCTAGGAGTCCCACATTCCAACTCTCGAGGATCTTGGCATTCTTGAATTCCAATATTTCGATACGGCATTCCAACATTCCACAGTTCTGAGCCCATCATCACTCAAGAGGGCCAAGCTGCCACTGCCTAAGATCCCGGCCTTCCAAGAATGCAACATCCCGACACTAGCCCCATCGCTCTGGGAGACCAGCATTCTGGCTTTCTCCAACTCCGCTTGTGATGCTAATATTTTCACACAGGATTCCATCCTTCTGAGCCCACGATTCGAGGACTGCAATCTGCCAGCATTGGAGACGCCGATCTGCCAATGGTACAGGAATCCAGCAAGGGCAACCTTCCAATTCTGATTCTCAAACTCTAAGATCCCAACACTCCTTCAGTCCAACACTGTCAGATTTCAATAACTAACGCTGGATTCTACATCTTAGAATCCCAACACTCTAGGAAGGACTCCAGCCTGCCAATAATATCAAAGAACTTCCAACACTGAATTCCCACATTCTCGGTGTTCAACATCCTAGTAGCCTCTGATTCCCACACACCAGCAAGAAAACAGGCTGATCGCGACATCCTAGGACTCCCAGGTCACACATCCCCGCATTCTAGGACTCAAACCTCATTCCCTGAGCTTTCCAGGCTGAAGGAGACGCCAGCCCGAGCGCAGTACCGGCCAGGTGCCCGCCCTGCAGGTCAGGCCCGAGGCTGGGAGGTCTCAGTCTTCACCTGAAGCAGTAGTTGGTGTCCAGGGCTCGGCGGTGCCGGGGGCTGTGCAGCTGCTGGGCTCTCTCCAGCGGGGTGGCCATGAGAAGCAGGAAGGGCCGGTTTATGCTGTGAATGGTGGCCAGGTCACCACGGCGGCCGACACTGATTCCTGTTTTAGTTTAGGAGTCACAGGGTGGGGGGTGGGGAGACATACACACTCAGACAGTGAATGGGGGGACGGGTAAGGGATAGAGGACAGACACACACACTGCACGGGGCACCGGGACAGAGGGATGGGCCTCACCGTTGATTTCCACATGGAGTACGTTATCTTTGTTGTCACAGGAGCAGTGGGCATTGAGGCGAAAGCCCTGGATCTCACCTGTGGGGGTGAGGAGAGGGGAGCCAGTGTGAGGGTGCGGCTCCCCCAGCCCGGGGGAGGAAGGAGGGAGCAAATCCGGCTGCCCTCTGCCGCACCCTCTCGCTGCAGTTCTCTGCCTTGCTGCCTCCTCTGTCACCTCCTCCAAGAGGCCCTGCAGGATTCAGACCCCACTCCCACTGTAACATCGCTTTACTTTCTCCATAGCACTGACCCTGTCTCTGGGGCCTTTGTATTTGGCTATTATTTCCCTCACTGTCCTCAATGGAGAGCAGGATGCATGGGGGCTGGGACCCTTGTTTTCTTGCTCCCTGCAGGGCCTGGCCCACAGTCATAAAAACAAACATCTACAGAGTGCAGGAGGGCGCACGGGGTGCCAGGCCTGTTCTTAACAGTGGCTTTATCTCCTGTAACCCTCACCAAAGCTACCCACTTTAAAGAGGATGCCCAGGAGCACAGAGAGGGGGTGACTTGCCCGAAGAGGGAAAAGACACATTCGCTCCGGCCTCTTGCCCCAGGGCAGCTGTGGGAGAAAGGCTTCCTGAGTGAATGAGTGGATTTTCTAAGCTCCTACTATGTGCTGGACCCTGTCTTGGGTGCTGTCGGCTCAACAGTGACCCCAGACACTCCTCCCAGCACCCACCTGCTCCTTAACCTCCATCTTTTCATCTGGCCAAACCACCACCTATCCCGTGAGTCTCTACACAATCCCCCTTACCTTGGGGAGGCCCTCCAGGACTACCTCCTCCAGATGGGTTTGGGTGTCTGCTTCGGGCTCCCCCATCCCAGCCCTGATCACTCTAGTCATCACTGCCTGCTAGGGCTTTGGCAAGACTTCCTAAGTGTCTAGAAGTAACGGTGAGGACAAGACCCAAGAGTGGTCTTGGCTATCCCTGTGTCCCTGCACCACCGGCATAGCACCGGGCACAGAGCAGGGACCTGCCAGCACTTACGGAATGAAGGCATGAGTAAGAGGGCGGTTAGGAAGGGAGATGTGGGTGCTGTGGACTCAGCTGGGACAGGACAGACCCCATCCTCTTCCAGACACACTGCATGTGTCAGGCTCGCCCCGGAATAAGGTCCTTTGCATAGCCTGTCCTTCTTTCCTGGGCTCGTTCCCCTCCCTCCTCCAGGAAGCCCTCCTTGATCCCAGGCTGGGCAGCCACCTCCTTTGGGATCCCCATTCCAGGCCTGCCCTCTCTGGGTCATTACTATCTGGCTTATAGGTCTTCCATCCCCTTCCCCCACCCCAGCAATGGACCATGAGCTCTGGGAGGGCAAAGATGGGCTTGTTTTTGTCACTGCTGTGTCCCCAGAATCACCCAGCACAGGGCCGGTGCTCAGGAAATGGATCAATCCATCAATCACTCAGGTTTGAGTGTCTAGGAGGAGGGCCAGGTCTCGGCTCTTTGGCACCAACATAGGGTGGGGATGCTAGGCAGGGTAGTCCCAGGACAAACAATGGGGTCAAACCCATTGCAAAACAGGGTGGGGCAGACAAATGGTCCTCACCTCTGTGGCTCAGCCACTGCCGCACAACTCCAGTGACCTCAAAGGACAGCCACTCGGGCGAGTCGCTGGGGGCCAGCAGCTGGTTGCTGAGGTAGCGCCAGGAATTGTTGCTGTATTTCTAAGGGATGGTGAATGGGAGGAGAGAGATGGTGGGTACATGCTGCCATGTATCCGCACCCTCACTCCATCTGCTCCCCTAAATGGGCCCTCGGACAGTCCCTTGGACAGTCCCCTCCCAGACATCCGCGCCGTGGGGCCTGCAGGAACCACCTGCCCCACAGGGAGCTCCAGGCTGGGGGTCAAGGCACCTGAGCTGCTCAGCCTCGGCCCCTGATCCCCTTTGGGGCCATGGACATTCTTTCCTCTCTCTAGGCCTCAGTTTCCTTGCTGGTGAAATGCCAGCCCCCTTTGAGCTTGGACAGCCCGGTGCTCAGATTTTCCTGCAGACATCCCTGGCTTCACTCAGCACACAGTTCTGCACATCCGACACCCTGAGTTCTGAGTCTGTAACTTTCTAGGGGCTCATGTTAGAAGCCATTCTATAACTCCAGGGCTTGACAGCATCCCAAGAATTCCAGTCAATGAGCCTAAGAAGTTCGAAGTAAATAATGTTCCACAAGTCCAGGAGTCTGACAGGACACACCACACACCCAGAGGCTGCAGATGCCTGACCTGACATCGTGTGGAATGTTCGCCTGGGGCTGGACAGACCGCTCCAGGGGCTGGCAGCACGAAGCTGGATTCTCTGGACGCCAAGAAGTTAACATCAGACAAAATTCCCTTGTTGTAAGATACTATCTGCTGTCAAGTCGGAAGTTCCATATATGACTTGGATTGTACACCACCTGACCTTCTAGAGGCCCCAGCCCTTCCAGAGGCCCTAGTCTTCCTGAAGACTCCAAATTTTCTAGAAGAGACCTCTCTCTGTGACGATGGCGTCCAAAATAGCCACTAACCACATGTGACTATACCGCTTGAAATATGGCCGGTGGGCCTGAGGAATTGAATTTTTGCTTTCAGTTGTAATCAACTGAACTGGCGATATATGACTAGTGTGGCTTCCCTCTGGGATGGAGTGGGTGAAGAACCCTGAACCATTCTAGAGATTTCAACATTCGACAGTCCTGCATTCTAGAACCCAGTTGCTAAGATTCCAGCCTTCCAAGCGGTTAACAGTCTAGGCTGCTAGGAGTCTGAGGGTTTCAAAGAGCCCTATGATTCCACGGTCTGTGCTCCTCCATCTCTCAGGGTCTGTGTGAACCTTACAGTGACCTGCGGCCCGGTGGCCCACCTGGCCCATGCCCCCACCTGGTACAGCTCCACGTGCTGCTCCACTTTCAACTTGTGCCTCTGCAGGCGCAGCTCTGCCCGGGAGAGCAGCTCGGGTTCCGGCACAGCTTCCCGGAGATCCGACGTGTTGAAGAACATATATATGCTGTGTGAGTTATGCTTGTATGTCTTATAGATTTCTAGGCAGAAGGAGCGGAGAAGGGGGATGTCAGGAGTGTGGCAGGGGAGCTGATGCACCCCAAGTGTTAAGAGCGTGAGCTCCAGAGCTGACAGCCCTGAGTCGGAGTCCGACCCTGACCTTGGGCGAGTGGGTTTGTTTCCTCCTCTGTAAAACCCTTCTCTCCCATCATCTGGGAAGTGCCCACTCAGTACAGGCTGGCGCCAAAGGCGTCTGCTTTGCTTGCTCAAACTTCCCCAGCGCTTGGAGCCTCAAATGCAAGTTACGTGGCAGTGTAGGGTCAAGGGCATTTGGAGCAGTCCATGCCTCTGCTGCCTTCAAGCTCTGTGACCTTGAAAAGTCACATCCCCTCTCCGAGCCTCAGTTTCCTGCCATTCTTTGGAAAGTGGCAACCACATCAAGCTCCCTGCCTTCCAAAGCAGGGTCTCCTAACTGAGTCGCTGTGTGTGACTTTCAGCAAGTGAATTCCTGTACCAGATTCTCGCCTGTGAAACAAGGAAGGATTGCAGGGTGAGAGTGTGAAGTGAGATGAGGCAGATAAAGCACGTAGCACAGCCTGCACACAGCGGTCACTGTAATGTGTGTTAAAGAGCTCACTATTTGCTAGGAGCTGTTCAAAGCATTTTGCATGTAAACTTCACAACAACCCCATGAGGAAGATACTATTATTATATCCATTCTATAGGTGGTGAAACTGAGGCACAAAGAGATCAAGTAATTTGCCCCAAGGTCACCCAGCTAGGAAGCTGCAGAATGAGAATTCTAACACAGGCAGTCTGGTTCCAGAGACAACCCCTAGGCTAATCCACCTCCCAGCTAAAGTGATATTATTATTATTGTTGTTATTATTAATTACTTCCTCCCTCAGCTAGTTAGAAAAGGCAAAGTTCATTCTAGGTAGGAATGGCTTGGGGGTGGGGGGGAGGAAACTTGGAAGTGTTTTTTAGTCTAGGAAAAGTTTGGGGTTGAGGTTGAGGGGTCAGCGCATGAACTCCTGGATAAACTGGGGCATCTGCTTCAGGCCTCTGCACGGGGAGAGGGGGGCCCGTAAAAAACGGAGACAGGTTCCCAAGAGAAATGTCAGAGGAAACCCCTTCCGTGGGCCCCTGTCCTCCACTCCTCCCAGCTCTAGCCAGGCCAGTCCTGCCCCCTGCAAATAAGTACTATCTTAACCCAGGGGTTACTCAGCAACCCCCAGAGGAAGGGTAGAGCCCAGGGTGGGGAGACAGAAGAAAGGGCAGGGACTGGCGGAGGGAGAGAGGGAGAGGCAGGGAGAGGCGGGAGAGGCAGGGAGGAGGCAGGGAGACGGGGATTAACAGGGATTCGGGAGATGGAAAGACGGAGATGGACGACAGACACACACATACAACACACACACGAAACGACAGAGATGGACGACAGACACACACATACAACGCACACACGGAGAGAGACACACACTGGGCTTGGTGGCCAGGTGGAGGGAATTGAAGGTATCACTTAAGTCTCTACAACAAGGTGAGCCGGCGGAGGTGAGAGGGACGTGTGGGTGGGGATGGGCGTTATTTGGCGGGAGCCACAACTGGGCAAAGGAATGGGCTGGGGACCCACAAGTCCACCGCCCAAGAGGAAAAGTGAAAGGAGGGGGCCCGCCGCAAGTCACCGGGCCACTTGGGTCTCCCA